TAAGAGTTCACAGAGTTTAAACATTAAATGCTCGAGCAGCTCAAATGTATTAACTTTAGAATTCTAAATCAAACACTTCAAATTCTACAAAATGTTCTCGAACTGCTCGATCAGTTGATGGGTCCGAATAGATGATGACATTTTATTTTCATGTTGTTTTATACAAATACATATAACAGCCAGGGTCCAAGAATTATACTTATTTAAAGAATTTTCAAAAAAAAAACGCAGCAAGAAAAAGTTGTCTAAATTCTAATTTAAGTATTATTACAACAACATTCATACTTCATATAATGCATACTTTCTATATATTCGTCTTTTAAAATTAAACTCAAAAAATAATAAATAATTTTATTTTCCATTATATAGTATTTTTCAAAAATAATTATTATTTCCCTTTTACTGCTTTTTACTTTAAAACGTGAAAATAATTATTATTCTTGCCTTTAAAACGAAAAACTCAAAAATAACTATTATTTTTTACAGGCAAAAAAAAAACTTGTGTGTAAATTATTTTTAAAAACCAAAAATAAGTTGAACAAAATAAAACACTTGTCTTTTCTTTGCTATTCGAATTTGTCTAACTTTTAAATAGTTTCTTTTCCTCATTAGGCGCGTCACTATAAATATTTGTTCTTGTCTTTTCTTTGCTATTCAAATCCGTCTAACTTTTAATTAGTTTCTTTTCATCATAAAGACGCGTCATTTTTGGCAAGAAAAAAATTAACATTAAAATCATTGATGATAAAAAACATTGACAGGCTGCCCTACTTAGCACTATCTAATCTCAGAGAAATCACTAACCGCACGGGGCGGTACGCAGATTTTAGATCAATCATCGAATAATAATGAAGATTATGAGGAATACTCAAATTAGTCAGTGAGATGGGCCCAGCCATCATAGAGTAAAAGTGCCCAGATGAACTAATTCGGAAAAGGCTCAACATAAGACAAGAAAAATATATAGAATGGTTGGTACAGGTAAGGAGTTTATTTTGTTTTTAATATTTTTATTAAATTATTATTATTTAATAATATGTTGCACAATGTAGATTGGTATCGTCAACACAAATCTATATCGACTGACGGACAGACATGGTGGGTGGTGCTTATGGAGGGGAAGGAAATGAAATTATATAGGACTCACCGTAAAAAAAAAACTGAAAAATAATTTAACGAGAATGGCATTTAAATTGAATTCGCAAACTCACGAAGCAGTTATTGCCCATCTACCACCTGAATTTATTAAGTGCATGTGGAGTGTGAGAGAAAAAGCACCTGGCTGGATGTTAAACACTTTCCATAAAATAGTCAGAGTTGGTCATTTTTATACTGCTCTATGATTTTGAAGGAGCATTCTCCCAAGAATGTTTAGGGTTAATAGAGGGTTAAGAGAGTTAATAGTTACGAAAGTTATAACTACTTAAAAACAGAAATACATTCATAGACCAAAAAAAAAAAATTACGATTAGAAATTAACTATATTTTTAAGATAATATCGCAGGGTGATTTTAAACCCTTGAACTCTTCACGATAGAAAAATACTTATTAAAAAAATAAAGTCGTACAGTAAATTAACTTTAGACATGAATAAAATATTATAATTATTATATAGTCATCTATATAAATATCGCTCAGGGCGTAGTGTCATTACAACTGATTGTGGATACATACAAGGGGCTAAGCTAATTATACTGAAATCTCCAAGCCACATTACAACGTTTCTGTAAGTATCTAAAATACGAATTTTTTTCTCTATCGCCAATAATAAAGAAATTTGTTAAAAAGTTTTTTTAACCTTTCAATGATATATGCTATAATGCAGCACTAAAAGTTTTTATTATAACGAATAGTTAACACGTGTATTGGAAAGGAAATAATTTTAATGTTGAATTGTAAAAATTATTTTCTTTTATAATTTTAAATAATATATACAGTAATAATATTTCAAATCATTTGATGCAAAAGTTGCTGTTTTTTTACAACAATTTAATATATAGTATTATATTTAATATATATTAATTTATAGAAGTTACTGTTAGTATTTAATGTTAAATTTCAATTTAAGTATTGTTGCAATATAAACCTCCAGTGCTACATTATAATCGATAATGATGGTCTCTTGTATGTCTCTAATTATATTTTGATTTAAAATTTACCAAGTTCAAGAATTCAGTTTTTATTTCAATTACAATAAGCTTAATAAATATGTACAAATAATATTATAGAAGCATATAGCACAAATAGTATAAGATATTGCAAGCGTAATAAAAGAGTCTGTTTCTAAATTAATGTTTTATATATATATGTATATTTTTGTGTTTTGTTAATTTATATATAAAAATAAAAGCATCTATTATAAAACTACAATAAAGTTATAAAAATTAAATTATTAAGTTATGCTCTTCAATAAATCATATTAAGCTGATTATAAACCAATTAAAAAATAAATTAATATAATATAGACAATTGTGGTCAAACCTAGTTATGTATTAAGTGAAGTGAAAACTTTTATAATCCTTAAATATACCTATCCGATATAAGAAAATTTAAATGTAATCCCGAAAAAAACATTCACAGCTAAACATCGACATAGTCCAAACCTTTAACCGTTAAGAAAACGTACATTCTTGCATTTCATCGAGCGATAAGCAACTTGGTCTATAGACCGCTTTATAACTTCAGTTACTAGAATATGTGCGGTTTTCAAGCCAGCATATGATTTCCCATGTATAAACACTAATACTGTTAGTCCTCTTTTATATTCGATCTCAATGATATTAGCTCCATTTCATTAGGTATGGAATCATTTTAGCATACAGAGTACACTCATAAAAAACCAAATATAAATGCGTATAAATGTTTTTCTCATAAACTACTAGAATACAATCACATTCGCCACAGATATGATTCATAAATGTTAAATGAATGTCGGTGCTATTGAATCAGCTTCACAAGAATGTATAGACACTTCTAAGTAGAGTAGCACGAATGGCAAATGATTCATGAATCATAGCATGTACTCAAGTGGCATGAATATACTCATCGAAATTGAATGACGATAAATAGTATAAATCATTATAAGTGCTGTCAGTTGTATGTATAAATCAGATGGAGTTGAATATACCAAAAAAAGAGTCAGAATACATATAAATGAAACACACTCAATGATTCGAGTGTTGAGTACTTATTGCAACTCTCTGGTATGGACATATCCATGTTATGAAGAATGAAATCGACAATTGTTTCTTGGAGGATGGATTCTACTAAATATTATGCAAATACTATGTCCATGGGACTCTCATTAACTGCTCAAACTTCAGAAGGATTTGCTATCGTTTATGTGTTTGTTGTTTTCGAAACTTACTAAGAATCATCTGGTGAAAGTCACAAAAAATCTTTCACAATTTCAAACCAAAATTTTAGTATTTATCCTTTGTGCTTATAGCAGAATTCTTTTAGAAATTTTTAGAAATATTACAGAAATTGCTTCAGTTCTCTGTCATTTTCTGTATATTTTACACAAATTTCTGGTTACATCTACTATGGAATGTGAATATAAACTTCAAGTCTTCAAATTACATATTACATTATTACATGAGTAAATAATTTTGAGTTGCAGTTATTAAAAATTTAGTTTAAACAAGTTTTTTTTAATTGGAATTTAATCAGCTTTTTACATTTTAATTCTTTGTTCTCTACTTATAGAACATGACAAAAATCAACTAAATAAAATATTTTTTAAAAGCATTTAAATTGTTTCATAAAAACCCACTGTTAAATATTAAGCTGTTAATATTAATTGAAGAAAGAGATCTTCGTGGGAAAATCTACTGATGGCAGATAACCCATTACACAGCTTTTAATAGTACTAACTTTAAAATCTTACTATAAAAATATATATAGATATAGATTTATATTCCTCTTAATACTTTTTTTTTTGGAACATTTACAAACTATGATTTAAATGTTTTAAATAAATTTTTATAGTCTAAGATTTTATAATATGATTAAAATCCATATCTGATAAAATAATTTGTCTGAAAAAAAAACTCAGCTGTTAAAAGCTTTAAAACTACTGCATTTAAAAAAAGAAGTTAATAAACTTACTTTCATAATCATTATCTTTATATATACACAACGAGAAAAAAATCTTCGGTACTACATTTACAAATAATAAAATTTTTTTATATACAAATATTAACAATATATACAATTAGTTAAATATAAGAGTGGAACTAATAACCACAAGTATCTAATGTGCCCCAATTTTAAGAGAGTTTACAGAGTACATAAATCATTATTAGTATCTGACATTAGGTTTTTTTTAGAAAAATCTTAAAAACAAGATATTTTAAACATTGCATGCTAACACTTAACATATTAAGCTTAGTACTCACCGAGCGAACGTTTTGCTCGTAAACTGTGCCGTTCTTAGAAAATTTTTACTTGCATGCAAAATGTTCGCTTTGGTGAATACTAAACATTACATCTTGACACATACAAAAGATATATTATTTTTATCCACATAAAATCAATATTTATAAAATATATATTACATACACATAATTTAATAAACATTTATCATATAGTACACAAAAAATTTTAAATAAATAAATAAATTAACATCGATAAACATTACTAACTTTATTACAGAAAAATTCATATAGTTAATATTATTTTGTATATATTATTTTAGTAGATAAACATGAATATAGATTTATTAAAATAATAAATTCTAACAGAAAATATATTATCTGCATCTGCGAAACATAAACACATATTTATAGAAATAATAATTTCTAACAGAAAATAGAATTCTCTGCATTAACTTTGGAAAATTGCTACGATTGGGGAAAAAAACAGATCTAAGCAATACGATACGACAAACGATACAATAAACATAACGATTAAACGTAACGATTAAACGTCACGATGAACGTCACGATAAACGTTACGATAAAAGTTACGATAAGCAACATGTTTCAATAATTGACTTAATACTACAAATAAGCGATTAGTCCATTATGAGTTTATCTTATAATGTTGTTCTGAGCGATATATTGCTTAATGGTATCGTTTAGATGCTAGTTGTTTTTTTATATGTTACGTTCTCAACTGAGTAGTGACCTTTCGAACAATTATATTGTTATTGTTATCTGGTACGAGAATCTCGTAATTTGGATTTGAATTTGAATCAATTCACATAGCATAGCATAGATCATCATCGCATAGTTCTGCTTATATGTATTTTTTTATATAAGAATAAGAACAATTTCTTCGATTTAATTTTTCTTAATTATAAATAAATAATCTCATAATCACATTAAAAAAGCGAAACTTCAAGCAAAGAAAAAAAAATTAATAGCTTAGCGTAAGTGTTAATTCGTTTATTTTATTTAATTTTTTTTTAAATAATTTTTTTTAAAACTTTTTCCAACTTTAATGACAGTGAATATATAAGCAACGAAAATATTTTGTTAAGATTAAAGATTTGAGTAATGAAATAACCTCATATTCCTAGTGAAACACTAACAGGTCTCTACACACAAAATCAAGTAAACGCTGAGACTAACTCAAATAAACCATTCATATTAGTTATATCTTGTAATTAATAAAATAAAATTTTTATTCTCTCTATAATTTATAGAAAGGTTTCGAAAAGTAGTCAACTACAACAACAAAAATTTTTTTAATATTATTTTAATTAATTGAATTTTTGGCCGATCATACAACTGTTTCGAGTGCTGTCAAATACCCATCATCAGTGGTCTTGGAAATAATGCTTGTAACGTTGAAATCGTACTCATAATTTTTATATATTATAAATAGATTGAATTAGTACATTACAGATATTCATGATCTTAAATGCCAACAACAAAACACATATATTCGAAATGTTGTTGCTGCTTTGCACTATTACTCGTTGCACGAGATCGAGAATACCTCTACAATAGTCCCGAGAGTACAAATAGTAAAGAGAAATATGGAATTTTACTGTCATGCCAGTTGGAACAAGCTTAATGCAAATGTCTCAGTATTCAATAGATTTGATATAAGCTTTAGATATCAAGTTCTAAATCTATTTTTTCTTCTTGAGCAAGAGAGAAGGTAGAGAGATAGTGAGAGGGATATCATGTTACTGTCATTCCAGTTCGAACAAGTTCAATGCACCTGTTTCCGTGCTTAATAAATTTGAAATAATCTTTAGTTGATAATCTAATAATCTTAACTTTTAAATCTATTTTTTCTTGATAAGAGAGGTAGGAAGGAGGCATAGAGATAGTGAGAGGGATATCATTCTACTGTCATTCCTGTTGGAACAAGCTTAATGCAATTGTCTACATGCTTAATAGAATTTAAAATCTTTAGATTTTAAATCTATTTTTTCTTCTTCATGTCTTTTAGATGTTGTCCTAATGAAGCAAAAAATATATTCATTATATGAATCTCATATTCTAGCTCCTGTTCACGTATTGTGTAAGTGAAAATCTTGCTCCGAAAGAAGAAAATTATTGGTAAAATGCAAAAATGCTTTCAAGAAAATATAAAACATATCAGTAAACTTATATTAAGTGTTATATACGTACATATGAATATAAGATAAATTTTAAAATATTAAAATAAACATTGATTGTATACAGATACTTTGTCCAATGTTTATTATATGCACTTGAAAGCAGTCAAACATATTAAGTGAACAGAATTAATTCACTCACAAATACTTTTCTTATTGGTTGTTACAACATAAACTAACTTCAAGCAAATATACAGAATTCAACACTTTGTCGCATACACTAACAAAATAAAACATATATAACATATAATTAATTTAAAATAAATACGTATTCATATGGAAAAAGTCCTGCTTTACTTTCCTAAGTCTCTTACTTGTCACAATCGATTTCCATCGATCATTTATGCCACAGAATCACTACTTGATTTCATCTCACGTTCACGAAAAAACCCGCGCTCAGTTTTACATTCTCTGATGGTAACTGTTTCCAAATTAACTGTTACATCTGTAATGACCACCTTATCGGATATGTTACATTTTGTTGGTAACCAAAAACGTGGTGGTAGAGCTTTTGGTGAGAGCGGCATTAATGGTAATTGCTGTGACTGATGATGTGGTGATAATGAAAGTTCACCAAGATTATCACCTTTTTGATTGATGTTTTGCTGTTCCGGTTGACTATCAGCTTGTGATGATGAATCATCATCATCTTGTGCATTATATTGTTGTGTTTTTTCAGATGGTGTTGCCTGTTCCGGTCGAGAAGCGGGCGTTTCAGGTGATAATGGTTCAGTTTCTGCTTTTAATGGTGTAGATATTGGCGTTGCAGAATCAACTGAGCAATGATGCTTTACAGCTGGTGGACCATCAGGTGATGTTTTTATAGTAACACCAATTTTACCTGATT